AAAAAAAAAAAATTAGAGGTCGTATTGTCTCAAAATTACTATTTTTTCCTCGTTTGTATTTTCTCAACAAGCACATAACTAGACTTGAGTTTTGAGTCCCAACTTAAGCTAATACTTTGGGGGCATTGTTTAGGGTGTACCCATTCTAGGCTACCTGTTCTGGACCATATCAGATAACTGGGAATGGGCTGATGGGTATGGGCCCAAGTTTGGGCTGGTGGCGGTTGACCGTTCCCATAATCTTGAGCGGAGCCCACGCCCGTCCTATCATTTGTTTTCAAAGGTAGCAGCACTTCTAGTTTGCTCAAGGACAGTGTTAGCCTAAACGCTAAACGGTAAACAGTCGGCGAGGGCACGTGTAGTGTTTAGACGGTGTACACGGCGTGTACACGGGATTAAACGGATTACACGTTTTTAACTACATTAGTATTAATATTATGACTTATGAGTCAATGACATAGCCATAGCCCATACGCAAATTGCAGATAACATCACAACAGTCAACATCACAGGTGTTCATCTTACAACACAACAGTTAGTAACACACTGCACGCATATATAGTTCTCACAAAACGGATCAATTTTTTGTTCTCCCGCCCAACCGCTTCTATTTCCAAAACGGACCGTGTAAACGGCCTAAACGGCCGTTTAGGCCGTTTAATACCGTTTAATACCGTCCCGTTTACACATTTTACACGGTTTTTTTCCGTCTACACGGCTAGCCCGTTTAATTACCGTTTATCCGCTAAACTGCACACCATAGCGCCGTTTACCGTTTAAACAGCGTGTAAACGGTCTAAACGGCCGTTTAGGCGAACACTGCTCAAGGAATAATCCAAACTTCCAGTTCATGTTGCAAGTGATGAAGTTACACTGAGCTCTTTCGTAACTGCAGATTGTGAAGTCGGGCAAAATAGAACGTCTGGACAGAGCACGCGCATGGCGCGAACTTCAAGCAGCTGCTAAGGAGCGTAAGAAAAGGCCGTTTTACCGTGCAGTTAACAAACACGGCCTGATGTATGCTGGTAACATCAGAACCTTACAATTCTACTTCCAAAACAGGAAAAAAAGTACAATTTTTGTTGTTTTATCCTTTTTCTTGTTATTATATCCATGCAAGTTGTAGCCTTTTACTCGATGGCCAGATGATATTGTCAAATGTTCCCCACTCTTTTACTGAGAATTTGAGGATTCATATTTCAAGTCATTTTGTGGTGGTTATAAATTTTTGTTTCATGACAGGGGGGCTCGACAAACCCATCTTGCGGCCTTATATTGTCCGGGATTGGAGGTTTGGACATTATGAAATGGAAGATTTGCAGGACCCATTAAGCCGGCTGGCGAGATTCGTCCTACGACCTTTCTCACTCAAGAAGAAACCAAAACCTCTTAATGATTATGAGGAGTTGGCTCTTGAGTCACTTCATGGTACCGTGTAGGTGGACAAGTCCAGCTGCAAGTACTCTTTATAAGCTGAGATGGTGATTTTGTTGTATATAGAAAAAAGTGAATCCGTCCCTATGTGTAAATATATGGTGTTCTGTATTTTTATGTTAATATTTTGTGCTTGGGTAATCCATATTGATCATAGTTTACATGCCCATGCCTTTTTAAGACTTTTAAAAATGTGAAAAACTTGACTAACCTCAATTATAAAATATTTTAAAGTTAATAACTTTTGTATTTGTTGTCAAATTTTTATATGTGGTATATAACAAATTAACCATTTTTTACGGGCTCGATTGACATATATATATGGTGTGTGTGTGTGTATATATATTCTAATAAAATCATTTATATATCAATTAGTACGTACCCCGTGCGATGCACGGGCTGTATTTATTTTTATAAAATTTTTAATTGAAGGCTAGTAATCAATAAGTTATAATACATAGAAAATTTGTTAGGTAATCGTAAAATGATCATCATGAAAAAATCATACATTATTAAAAAGTTCTTTGTTTTTCCATGCACAATTATTTTTCACCTGGTATCTGTAAATCAATATTTACCAAGATTGTTCTCCACTTGGTAATTGTGAATTGCATAAACACCTCTTTTTTTTAATTTTTTTTGTTGATTTTCGGAATGTTATCACCATGAAATAAAACTATAGTGAAAATATATATCGTGATAGATACTAAAGGTATGATTATCTGGTGAAGTTTAATTTTCTATCGAGTACAAGAAAAATTGTTACCTTAAAGTTAAAGTGGATTTTGAGTATATCTTTTTTTTTGTCAATCATTCTCATTTTTTATGCCAAATTCATTCCAAAAATTGAGAACGATTTTGTTTTGTTATGTTTTAACAGAGATTTGGAATTTTGGTTGTATCTTTTGTAAAACATATTTATAAAAATAATTACGTTTGAAAAAAACAGCAACGATATTTTATCATTTGTAGATCAATAAATACTAAATGAATCGGAGGACATGTAAATCACGGTTTTTAAATGAAAAATATGTTTCATAAAAAAAGTGATAAGAAAATGATTCAAAACGATAAAAATAAAATCGTATATTATAACAAAAAGATGTTTACATGAGTAGAGGATTAGTGAATCGAAAATTGTGGCAATTTTAAAAAACATGTTAACATGATTGAAATGAAATCTTTAGAATATTTTTTACTTTTAGTTAAGTTGCATATATTGCATAACTATATATGAAAAAAATAAAATATTTAAAGTTCAAATAAGCGATTTATTTATATTGTATATAATAAAGTGTACAGTCCAAATAATTAAATTTTATTTAGCATTTATATTGTTAATATTGATACCGTTATAATTGTAAAGTCCAACTCTCATTTTTACGGTAAATTTATATTATATTAAAATGAATTGATAAGTCTAAAAAGAGATATGGGTTGAATTAAAAAGATTGAATCGTGGTTAAATATCTTGATATCATAATTATACTTTTTTTTTTAAGATATTCCGTAACATGTGGTTCCATAATAATACTGCTTTTAAATATAATTAAATAGCCGAATTTAGTGTTTAATCAAATATTATGGAATATCTTTTTAAAAATATCTAATTATTAATTTATTTTTGTTTCTTATTTATATTTTATTTTTATTTTTGCCAATTGACAATATTATGTTTGATCACATTGTGCACACAAATAATTTTTTAGATATAAAGTTGTGAACTTAACAAATATTTTATGTGGTTCACAATCCATATAAACAATTGACATTTGTCAAAATTTATGTTATAACAACATTTATACATTGTAAATGCTCTTATTTTGTTTTAAATAATTTCAAATATACTTCTATCCTTTCCAAATAAAATTCATATTACTTAAATTCGAACATTTCGTACAAAAATAAATCACCCACTTTATACCACAAAATCCGACATTTATTACTTACAACACATTTTCTATGAAAATAAAATGGCTATCAGATACTTAAAATAAAATCATCAACTTTATACCAAAATTGGATTTATTAATTTTGTCAACTTTATACCATAAATTAATTAAGTAATTTCTAAAAGTTATTTCTACATTTTGTCAAAAATATTTTTTAGCGGCACATAAATGTTATTTATATTTTTGTATTTGGTTATCTTGTCTACGAAGAAAAAGATAGTTCCTGCCACCTATCCCGTAGTTGGGGAAGAAACTTTAGAAGCGAAGCGAAGGGAAGTCAAGAATAAGGAACTTCTGGTAGATGCAACGACCGGCCTTATCCTTAGCTGTCTTTCTTTGGCTTATGCCTTTAGCTACGGAATACCTAAAAATCAATCTCTTTCACCTTTACTCCCTATTCTGCCAGTGGAATCTCAGGTTTTGGCTTCTTCTATCTCAGATGTATGAAAAATAACATAAGTATTAATTTATTATGTTTTACTCAATACAGGAAATATAATATAGATCAAGATTAAAGATTAATTTTCTATAATTGCTCAATCAAATCTATATATTTAAACTAAGGATTTCGAAAGTTTCTATAATACCCTCATATTTGTTTCCATAAAACTAAATCATCCTAAATTTAAATTCAACTAATAAAGGTAATAACCATAAATATTTGACTTAAAAGATTATGTACATTAAATACATTGATTTTTGTTTATTTACTATTTTTAGACAATAATTAATGAAATTGGCGGGAAAGTGTTTCTAAAAGTGAATTATGTTAATCTTTGTTATATATTAATAGATAATATTTAAAAATTGTGAGAAATCGACTAACACAGAAATTAGTGTAGTTCAATAGTCATTTTGCGAAATTTTGACTTGTTTAATGAACTTGGTATAAAATTTTTAAAAGGAATTTAAACTTTTTTTTTTCAGAAATAACCAAATATATTAAAAACTCAAGCAACGTCTTACAATCGAGAGCTCAACTGAACCCAGACACATAACTTTAAGCCAAGATAAGGTACAATCGGATCAGTTACATCACTGTCCGTTAATGGCCAAAGAAGCTAATGATCTACTTAATACAACAGTCTCCCGGATCAAATACAAACACACACTTAATCCCATTTTCACACAACCACCAAATGTCATCACAAATATTTCTAATTTTAGTCTCACAAGTCAACTCTTTTCTCAGCTTTCTAACCAACTGCAGATCTGGAAAATAGCAGATTACATTTTCTTCCCTTAATGCTCTCAGTTTTTGCAACATTGTCCTAATGTCCTGCAACAACCCTTCCCTGCAATCCTAATTATTAGAGTTGTTGTGAGACCGTGTTAGAATTTCCTGATTCTTTACAGCTACTCCATCAAAACCAAAACCAACCCCTTCAGAGAGTAAGACACTAACAGAAACACTTACCTGTCCTACCTCCTTGGAAAAATTCTCTGCCTGAGTTTTTTTTTTTTGGATTTTTATTAAGTGATTGTGTATCCCTGCACTCCTCCGGAACCTGCTTGTATTCACTCCATTTCCTCTCTAGCTCTAGCAGCAACTTGTACTTCAGGTATCCACCTCTTCTGAAAGATCCAATCATTCCTACTGCCCAGATATTCTAGAGCACTGATGCAGCAAGGCTAACTCTGTCTATCCTAGCATTCTTTTTTCTCTTGAATATTGATGAGCTTCAGCCACCAATCCTTGAAGTTGATCTTCATGTCCTTTTGATCTTCCCGCCACAATCCAGTCAGCTTCCAACAAATAGTAGCCCTTTGACAATATAACAACAAATGCTCTATGCTTTTATCTTTCTCCCCACAAAGGTCACACTTTGTGTCCAAGACGATACCTTTCCTTGCCAACTGCATTGTGGCTGCTAAGTACCCATGCCAGCACCTCCATATAAAGAATTTGATCTTGGGTTGAATAGGCAATGCCCAAGTTACTCTTCACATCTTATTCTCTTGTTGATGACCATCACTGGTCTCTCCTTGTATTTGCAGCTTCCTGTGTCTTCTGATTATGTCATATGCTCCCTTCACAGTTGTCACACCCCGCCTTACTAGCTTTGAAAATCAGAGTAAAATTTTTGCTTTTATTTTTGAAAGGTCGTGCGAGCTTGGTTTTTGAAAATTCTAACTGATTGCGGGATGTAACAGATAAAAACTTACTTAACTTGCTCACAGACATATATAACACGCAACCAAACTATCCGCTACGAATAATGGAATTAAACACGCAATGTCTAAACTGTCTCGCACTGTCTAGTCTGCTAGCGGAAGCGTCCGAAATAAAGAAAAATACATGCATAAATATCCGAATAAAACATGATCATAAATACTGGGACATAAAATGTGCGAAAAAAATGTCCAAGAGTCTCATGACCACGCTTTGCCACGTCTGTGCTCATCCGGCATGCTCGACTCCGTCTCCTGAAAAACACAATGGGGGCTGAGCAAACCACTATGCTCCGCAAATACCAGTACTGAATAAAACAGCATTTATAATATCGTATCATGAACATAAATATATAAGAGCTTAATCTGTAAATTTTCTCTTCTTGCTTTAATATGGTCAAAAGACGCTCGGCCCTTGGCCGCTCGTGTGCACACCCCGATGGGATATTAAGGCCCTTGGCCTCCACTGGGTCCCAAGATGGGATATTAAGGCCCTCGGCCTCCACCTGGGAGAAACTAACTGTCTCGAACATACCTCTGACATGGTACAAATATCATATATGATGTGGAATCCAGTACATGATCCCCACCTGGTATATTGTAAAAATATCTGACTGACGCAAGTGCTGAAATGTTGGGGTAGCTGTCGGAGGCTCGACTCTTATTAAGCTACCAAAATATTTAAGAAATATATCTACTCACATAACTCTTAAATATTAAATCAAACGTATCATATATTGATAATACTAATTGAGGGATAATCACTCAAGTCTAAGCATGCTAACTTATTTTAACATAATAAGCCAAAGGAACCCTCAAATCCCATAATTTTTATAAAATTATATTTAACTCTAAAAATGCTGAAACTTAGCAGTTAAATA